TAGGGTTTAGGGTTTATAGGGTTTAGGGTTTAGGGTTTACGGGGTTTAGGGTTTTTAGGGTTTAGGGTTTAGGGTTCAGGGTTTAGGGTTTAGGGTTTCGGGTCTAGGGTTGAGGGTTGAGGGTTGAGGGTTTAGGGTTTAGAGCCCTGGGGGTTAGGATGGTTGAGGCTTTTCGCAGATTTGGGGGCGGTGTTGAGGGTTTTTGGCCTCCTGCTGAGATTGCAAGCTCTGCGACCCCTGAGGCCATCCCCTGCGTCCCACCCAGGGCGTTGAGCCCCGACACCTAAACCCCAAACCCCAAGACCCCAAACCCTAAACCCCTAGACCCGGAGAACACGACCCTAAACCCCGAAGCCTCTAAACCCCCGAAACCCGCAACCCCCTTGACCCCTTAAGCCCTGAAGCCCCTAAACTTTCAACCCCCCTAAACCCCTGAACCCCTAAACCCCTAAACCCCTAAACCTCTAAACCCCTAAACCCCTAAACCCTAGACCTTGAATGCTCAGAACCGTGTCACCCCTAAACCCCCCAAACCCCAAAACCCCGAACCCCCATTCAACGCCCAAAACCCCCCAAAGCCCCTAGGCCCTCGCGCCCCCATTGAAGGAGAGACGATGGCGGCTGCGGGGCGGGCCAAGATTCCTGTGGCAGGTGCTGACCTCGAAGCTTTGTGTGTTTTTTTTTTTGGCGGGTGGGGGGGGGGGGGGAGGGGGGTTATGGTCGAGGGTTGAGGGTTTAGGGTTGAGGGTAGTTTGGGGGGGGTCTTGGGGTGTAAGGGTTGAAGGGCTTGGGAGTTCAGGGCTTTAGGGGCTTTGGGGGTGCTTTATAGGAAGTGTAGGGGTTAAGGGCTTCTTGGAAACTATCCAACCTTGGAGGGAGTTTAGGGGTTTGGGATTTAGAGCTTTTCGGGTTTGTAGATTCAGTGTCGGGGACCTTTGTTTTTTGTTTTATTGTTTTTTTTGGTGTGGGGCGGGGGGAGGGGGGCTGTAATTTCTTGAGAGGCAAGTAGCAGTAACACCTTAGGTCTTAGGGTTAGGGACCCAGTGGTATCAAAAAAACCTAACCTCTAAACCCTAAGCCCTAAACCCTATACCCTTTTTACAGACTTATCGTCCCTTCATTGAACAAGCAGGGGGTATTGGTATTGGGCTCTCTGGAATCCAGATCATGGCACCTCGGCAAAAATGCTAACGAAAAAGCCAGCAAAGGGGCCGGAAACCACGTACTTGAACTGAGGGACTCAGTAGCTACAGCCCCCCGATATGCTGAGGACTCCAGGGCACCCTCAAACACCGTTTGTAAGCCCCCAAAGTCCAGGCCCTTCCAACCCTTCCAACCCTTCCAACCCCTGCCAATCCTTCCAACCCTTCCAACCCTTCCAACCCTTCCAACCCTTCCAACCCTTCCAACCCTTCCAACCCTTCCAACCCTTCCAACCCTTCCAGCCCTTCCAGCCCTAAACCCCAAACCCTAAACCCTAAACTCCAAGAATCATATATAGGCACCGGTGGCACCAGCCTCTCCTTGGCCGCCTCCGACTTGGGCTGCCTGCTGGCAGGCGGGGCCTGTGCTGCCTTGGGCATTTAAGACCCCGAAAGCCCTAAACCCTAAACCCTAAAACCCGATAGGCCCTATAAACCCTAAACCCTAATTGAACCCTAAAGCCCTAACACCTTTTGCACCCTAAACCATTCAAGGTTAGCCGGGGTTTGAAGGTTAAGAGGATCCCAAAAGGGTTTAGGGTTTAGGGTTTAGGGTTTAGAGATTAGGGATGAGGGTTAAAAGGACTGCCAGAGACTATGGGAGGATCAAGCGGTTTGGAGTTTAGGAATCCTTGAAAGCCAGTTGGAAGATCCTTCTACTGAGAGCCCTGAACTATCCGAAGCCCTCAACAGAAGCCTACACGCAACTGGTACCTGTAGGTTCCCTAAACCAGGGTCTTCTTCATGTACTTGTTACACCTCGGATTTTGCGTGCCCAGCAGGGGAGCACAAAACTTACCCCATAGATCCCTACAAATCCCTGTAAATCCCTATAAATCCCTAAAAATCCCTATAAATCCCTACAAATCCCGATAGATCCCTATCAATCCTTATAAATCCCTACAAATCCCTACAAATCCCTATAAATCCCTATAAATCCCTACAAACTTTATAAATCCCACAGACCTTTAACGCTCAATGTACGTCCGCGCCGGTGGCCATGAGGTAATGCTGGCGGCTCCGTGGCCACCACGCCCGAGACCAAGGTGCATCTGCTACCCTATACACCTTAAACCCTAAACCCTAAACCCTAAACCCTGAACCGTAATCCCTAAACCCTAAACCCTACACCCTACACCCTAAACCCTAAACCCTAAACCCTAAAGCCTAAACCCTAAACCCTAAACCCTAAACCCTAAGCCGGTGCTTGAGTGTCAGGATTTGGGGTTGTGGGGCCTGGGGTTTTAGGGTGTTGGTTAAGGTGGTTTCCTAGGGTCCCTGTTTGGGTACTCATTACCAGGCGGCACCCTTTAAAAAGGGATCCCAAACAGGGACCTTAATGCAGAAAACTACCCAAACTGTGTCCCCTGCAACCCTCCAGCTTCTTAGCCCTGACGGACCAAGAATCGCCGGGACCCTATATGGTTTATGGTTTCAGTTTTCGGGTTTGGGTTAAACCCTAAACCCTCTACCCTCAACCCTCAACCCTCAACCCTAAACCCTAAACCCTAAACCCTGCACGCTAAGGCCTAAACAGCTAAGCCTGGAGTGTAGTCTTGAGCGCTCTCAGCTCTACTCATTCACCCTTCGAAATATCCTTAGCAACCTGAATGGTCAGCGAAACCCTAAACCCTAAACCCTGGATCCTTGCGAAATCCACCCTCTTCTAGGACGTCCAGAGTTTCCCACACTCCCCTAAGGGGCAAAAACAAGAGAAGACAAGCACCCTAACACGACCCGCAAAAACCGCTAAGAAAATCCAGACCCCTAAACCAGAGCACTCGAGATCAAGCTCCAACAGTGATCCACTAAACCCTAAACCCTAAACCCTAAGCCCTAAGCCCTAAACCCTAAACCCTAAACCCTAAACCCTAAACCCTAAACCCTAAACCCTAACCCCTAACCCCTAAGCCCTAAGCCCTGAGCCCTAAGCCCTAAGCCCTAAACCCTAAACCCTAAACCCTAACCATATACCCTAGACCCTAAGCCCTCCAGTGAAGGCCCTGGGAATTGCTGCCGGCCTCGCTGGTGCCTTCGGCGTCCGCTTCACCGCACCTGGACGAGTCTTGGACTGCTGAAGGAATAGAACCCTAAACCCGAAAGGGTAACGCTTAGGGCTCTTTTCGGGTTTAAGGCTTCAAGGCGTGTAGGGTTTCAGGATTTTAGGGTTTAAGGGCCCTGAACTAGGTTTCTTCGGGTTTAGGGTTTAAGGCTTCAAGGCGTGTAGGGTTTCAGGATTTCAGTGTTTAAGGGCCCGAACAAGGTTGCAGGGGCTCCGGGGGTTTAGGGTTCAGTCATTTAGGGTTTAGGGTGCAGATGCTTTGTGAGGAGCACATCATGGTCAGGGGTGCCTAAGCCCTAAGCCAAGGCGGTCCTTGGGAATTTGTTGATTTCCTTGTTGGGTTTAGGATGAGTAGATATGCTTAGGAACATCTTTCAGATGGTTTTTAATGGCCTTCCTGAACTAGCAGACCCTACAGCCTACAGGGTTTGGGGCTTAGGGTTTTGAGTTTTTGGTTTCTTTGAGCGAACGTTTCGGATTATGAGTTTTTGGGCTATAGTAACTCCTCGGCACTAACCCTTACAGTAATCACTCGCTTTGGAGGATTCCATGCTGTCTCTTCACCCTGCTTGTGCGAAGTCCATGAGGACATTAGGGAGTTTAGGGTTAGGAAACTTCGGGCATTTTAGGGTTCAGGGGCTGCGGTTTTGGCTTAGGTTCTGGATGTTGGTTCCGGGTTCTCCTATGAAAGTCTTAAGGGAGGGGGGTTCATGGGGGTAGGTACCTCGGGAACGTTTAGGGAAGCTTAGGGAGCCTTAGGGAGTGGTGGGGAGCATCGGGGAGTTGAACCCCCCCCCCCTCCCTTAAGAACCCTGTAAATCACCGCGCCGTCCGAGGCAAAAATAGCTTTGCCTGGCACTCTGCCACTCGGCCACAGAATGTGGGATCGTGTTTCGGGGGTTTGTGGGGTCTAGGGCTTACACCTACGGTTCAGTGTTTAGGGTTTAGGGTTAGGAGTAGCGGGTTCCTTTTCGGTTCGAAGTGGGGGATGAGGGAATTTGGATGAGGGAATTAGGAACCCAATGTCAATATCCCCTTATATTTTCCGTTTAACGGATTATAGAAGTTACCTACGTATAATGAGGGGTTAAGGGTGTTTGGGCCTAAGTCTCCTTACTTAGACGGTGAACCTGTTTCTCTCCCCCCCCCCCCAAATACCGTGTGTAAGGCCAGATTCAGGGAGGCTTCTGTCGTCCCGATTCTTCGGTTTCTGGCTGTGTTTGTTTTTGTTGTTCGTTCGCGAACTTTATGTCTCTCTCTGTTTGGTCTCTCTGTTGTAGTTACCCTCACCCCGAAACCCTATCTTCTGGATCCTAAACCCTAAGCTTCTAAACCCTAAGCCCTAAAACCGAGCTCCTGAGTCGGACTCTGAAGATGTTTAGGGGCACATGAGTGTTCAGGGTTTAGGAGTTGGGGATATTATGAGGGTTTGGTGGTATTCGGACCCCTGGGTTTAGGGTTTGGGGTTTAAGGTTTAGGGTTTTGGGCCGGTGCTAGTTAGGAACCTTCTCAAAGGGTTCAAAGTGGCCAACCGCGGGGGGGGGGGGGGGGGCTCGCCTGTCTCTGCCTGTGCACACTATGGCGAAGATGCTTTTGGGATTCCTTACTTCAATGTCAAGGCGCTGCCGGGACCTTAGCTCAGCCCTCAACCCCTTGAGCCAATTTGGCCCAAGATTTCGTCATTTGCGTCTCCGCCTTAAAAGGTGTAGACAGGGGCCATTTGACACCTTGCACCCATGGGATGTGGGGCAAGTGCGGCGAAAGTGCAGCCAACGACGCAGCTGCGACAGAAAGGGCCGTTCGGAGTGATCCCGGCATATGATGATCTCTCGGCGGCCATGCAGCAGCAGGCGATCTCTGACGGCCCGAGCACTAGGGTGAAGAAGGCAGCCATGCCGAAAGCAGCGTGCCAGCATCCGGCGCAGTTGAGGTTCGAAGGCACGATCTTCTCACCGGAGGACGAGGATGAAGGCTCGAAGCTGGATTGGTCCTCTATGGATTCCAGCACCTGGACAACACGCTGCGCGAAGGGTGCGCCCATGCAGCCAGACCGCCGATCACATGAACGCCATCTCCGTGTGCTTGACCAGTTCCGACGGGCGGTCGAGGGTGCATCCATGGAGTTCATCCAAGTCGTTGAAGCTCGCCGCTAGAAAGCAACGGCGCTGGGCCAACATAGCCTCGCAGACAGGCCGACAGGCTGAGCATTGGGTTTTCCTGTCCCCCATGCTCGTTGTCACATCGGCTGCCGCGCAAGGGCTTCGTGCATGGTATCTGATTCGACCGACAGCCTATGCGATGACGCGTGTCCATGCGTCGAGAGTTTAGCTGGTACGACCGCAGAGTCGGGTCCACGTCCCTGCACGAGAGGATGAAGAAGCCCTATGGTCCCTCAATAGTCCCTGTTTGTATGTAAAATTGCCTGTTCCCCTTCTGTTTCCGTATATACTTGTAATGTACTGTACCCCAACTATAAGCTTGATTAGGCGCCTTGTATTCCCCAAACCCTAAACCCTAAACCCTAAACCCTAAACCCTAAACCCTACACCCTAAACCCTAAAGCCTAAACCCTAACCCTAAACCCTATAATTCTATATTTTTATACAATACCAGCCCTCTGCATGGGACCTCCAGACTTTGTGGGTGTAATCGTCACGTGGCAGCGTGCCAGAATCCAGCCATGGTTGAGAGGACCTATAGAACTAGGTAGGCCTTTGGGGTTTAGGGTTTGGGGTTTAGGGTTTAGGATTTAAGGTTTAGGGTTTAGGGTGTAGGGTCTATATTTTGCGCTTTCCCTTATTGGGTTTAAGAGGATCATATTCAGGCAGGGATTTTCTGAGGGTGTTAAGGGCCATCCTAGACAAGTGAGCCCTAGATCCTAGACCCAAACCCCAACCCCCAGGATCGCAGCGAAGAGCGTTTCTGGCTGAAGTTCTGGCTCCGTTTATATGCCGCGAACTATTTTTGCCTTCAGCACCGGATTGGGCAACGTCTCGCTGCATGTGACTTCCCTTTGGGATGGCTTTTGGTCATTCCCAACGCAGGCACCGGCTCGCAACGTTTGCCCGGACCCCTGTGTTTCCCCGACAACTTTTTGTAGATTGCAGTTGCTATGACGCAGGTTGTGGCCAGAGCAGTTTGAATGCCGGGGTTTGTGGCAAGCAGACCGGCTGATGCCTGCGACATGCAGCAAGCTCACGTCCTCAGCAGGTGCGATTCCATGAACCGTCCCCAAGTTAGTACGGAACCGCAGTCGGCAGCTTTCATCGCCGTATGGGCGCCTGAGAAATGCCGTGCCCCAAGCTAGGTCCAAGAAAAGGACGAGCATTGTTGCCATGTTATCCTGGCCCACGACTCCATTTAGCTAAGCACTAAGGCTATGTCCATGCTAAGAGTAGGCTAGAACCCCTAAACCCTAAGCCCTAGGCCCTAAACCCCAAACTCTAAACCCTAAACCCTAAACTCCCCTAAAGCAGGCTACTCGCCGTTTGTTTTTTTTGGCTGCCGGCCGCGTCAGGGCGTAGATGGCTGTGTTCAGCCTAGCGCCGAGAGCGCGTTTCAGTCAGAGCGCCGCCCTGCGTAGTTCTGTACCAGGAGGGGCTCGTGGGCCCCTATAATCCCCAGAACCAACCCTATTATAGCAAGAGCCTTTTCAAGGGGTTATAGGGTATAGTCGCTTGTAGGGCCTTTTTCAGGGGAGGGTATAATAGCTTAGAGGGCCTTTTTGAGGGGTTATAGGGAATAGTAGCCCGTCCTGGTACCGGGCTCGCTCGTCACAGGTCGAGACATCCATTGTGTCCGAGCCGTCCTTATTATATCTCTCTGCTGCATGTGGGCTCGCGCCAGTTGAACACAGCCAGAGAGTCCATATGTAGTACAATGAAGTAAATAGGTACCCCCCCAAAAAACCATACTTAACAGGGCTTTGGGGTACCGAGTTGCATAGTCGTACTGCAAATGGACCCTCTGGGACATGTTGGAGTCTTACGCTGCACCGCCAGACAGATGGGGGGGGGGGTTTAGGGTTTAGGATTTAGGGTTTAGGGTTTAGGGTTTAGCGTTTAGGGTTTAGGGCCTGGAAGTGCCATCTGGTGAAGTGCGGCGAGAAGGCCAACTGGCCCGATGTTTAGGCGGGGTGTGGAGACAGCCCAGACAGCACAGGAGTGATGGGAGTCGTGCGCATCAAGGGCCATCAATGCGCTCTAAACTGCCAACCTAGGGTTTAGGGTTTAGGGTTTAGGGTTTAGGGCTATTAGGCCTTACATTCCCCAGGGCCGTTTTAAGGGGTTATAGGCTATCCTCAAAGAAGCCCTCGTTTTGTACTTTGGGGTCAAGATGTAAGGCCTAATAGCCATATGTTGGCAGATCGTGAGTCCGTTTCTGAAGTTTTGGCTGCGAAAGGATCAGTGTGCAGGCTTCGGGCTCAGGGTTTAGGGTTCAGGGTTTTAGGGTTCAGGGTTTAGGGCGTAGGGCTTTGGGTTTAGGGTTTAGGGTTTAGGGAAGGCCCAGAAGCAAGCACAGACGTTGAGAAAGCAGCTCCTACTCAACCCTAAGCCCTGAACCCCTCAACCCCCTCAACCCTGACCTAAACCCCAAACCCTAAACCCCAAACCCTAAACCCCAAACCCCAAACCCTAAACCCCAAACCCTAAACCCCAAACCCTAAACCCTAAACCCCAAACCCTAAACCCTAAATCCTCTTTTTTTTCAGGCACTAGATGGCTGCTTGCCGGCGTTCCTGGCGGCGGCGTGCCTCAACCAGGACAGCGGCGGAGAAGGGTTGGTTTCTTTGTGGTACTTTACTGTAACTTTAGATCCTTACCTTTTTTGGGTTTATTGTGTTTCTTATTCAGGCAGCTAAACGTTTAATTTATAGCTACCCTCCTGAGTGCAGCCAAGGTTTACACAGGGGTGGGTTTAGCGTTTAGGGTTTGGGGTTTAGGGTTTAGGGTTTAGGGTTTGGGGTTTAGGGTTGAGGGTTTGGGGTTTAGGGTTTAGGGTTTGGGGTTTAGGGCTTGCGGGTTTTCGGGCCCTTGAGGTGGGCCAACGGAGGGATGAAGCGGCTTCCCAAGACCTTGCAACCGATCGAAGCCAGAAATCCTAAGAACCCTCACCATGGAACCCTACACCCGGGTTTAGGGTTTAGGGTTTGGGGTTTAGGGTTTAGGGTTTAGGGTTTAGGGTTTAGGGTTTAGGACAAACCCCAAGCACAAATTAACATAGGGGTCGGAGCAATTGCGAATAGTACTCGCGCACACCCCAAAACCTAGACCCCTGTTCCAAAAGCCCTGAACACCCCCAAACCCCTAAAGCCCCTAAACCCTCAACCCTCAGGCCTAGACTCTGATTCCTGAACCCGGAACCCTAAACCCTGAAACCCTAAACCCCAAGTCCTATATCACCCTAAACCCTAAACCCTAAACCCTAAACCCTAAACCCTAAACCCTAAACCCTAAACCCTAAACCCTAAACCCTACACCCTACACCCTAAACCCTAAACCCTAAACCCTAAACCCTAAACCCCACACCCTCGAAGTCTTTCACCAGGCCATGCCAGGGTCCCTTCCGCCGGAGCTACGCCACGCACTGCAGACTCAGGCCGTTTAGGGTTTTAGGGCTTAGGGCTCAGTGTTCAGGGTTTAGGTCTTAGGGCTTAGTGTTCAGGGTTCAGGGTTTAGGGTTTAGGGTTTAGGGTTTTCGGCTTTAAGGTTATAGGGTTCAGGCTGAAAGGGCTTAGGGCCCCATAAGGGTGTTGAGGGTTTGGGGTTGAGGCCTTGGGGTCTTGTGAGGCTGGGTTTAGGGTGACTCCGATTGGGACACTTCTGGCGATTCGCACGGCCCCATGACATCACTATGTCATTGGTATCACCCCGCCCTCCCAGAATCCCTTTCCATTTGAGAATATGTATATATATGTATGTATACGTATATATATATATATATATATATATATATATATATTTTTTTTTTTTTGCATTTAGAGTCAGGGATCCAGGCTTCAGGATAAGGTTTCAGGGGGTCGCAGGTGAGGGGATAGGGGAGGCTTGAGAGTTCCCGAAAGGGTTTGGGGTTTAGGGTTTAGGGTTTAGGGTTAGGGTTCCAGGGCTGGCCATGCCCGTCCCAGACAAGGTCCCAGGAAAGGGGCCGGGCCAGGGGGAGGTCTCAGGGCGTCCCGCAAGAGAGTTTTGAGGGCTTAGGGTTTAGGGGTGTAGTGGGTTTTCGGGCTTCGGGCTGAGGGTCTTCTCAGGGAGTTGTAGTTTTCTGTAGAGTGGGCATAGCGTTGCCATGGGTTTTGTTGCGTATTGTCTGTAGGCCAATCTTGCTCTTTCTTAGTAGGAAATTCCTCCTATGCATCAAGGATATTGGTTACGAGAGCCCGTTTCCTAATTCACCACCCTAGGCCCTAAACCATCTTAAGCCCTAAACCATCCTAAGCCCCAAACCCTAAACCCCAAACCCTAAACCCCAAACCCTAAACCCTAAACCCTACACCCTAAAACCTAAACCCTAAACCCTAAACCCTAAACCCTAAAACCAGTGCGTAACCGCTTCTCGTGTCATGTGTCTCAAAGACGAGGTGCTGCCGCCCGTTTTGGGAGCTGCAGCTGCGCAGCAGGCTTCTTTGCAGCCTAAACCCTATGATTAGGGTTTAGGGTTGAGGGTTTAGGGTTTATAAGCCGTCATACCTGAAACCCAAGCATCCCCAAGAGGGGCTTCGGAAGGGTTCAAAATGGGGCCCCTGCAGCCGCCGACCCGGGGCAACCTGCATGCACTCCATAGTTAGGGTTTAGGGTTTAGGGCTTAGGGCTTAGGGCTTAGGGCTTAGGGCTTAGGGCTTAGGGTTTAGGGTTTAGGGTTTAGGGCTTAGGGCTTAGGGCTTAGGGCTTAGGGTTTAGGGTTTAGGGTTTAGGGTTTAGGGTTTAGGGAGGCCCCCGGAGCTGACCGAAGACCCCTGACTCCATGCCGGTCGTGAAGGCTTCTAAGGAGCCCTAAACCCCTAAGTAGCTGAGTGAGTACACTTTACACTTTTTGGGATACGATAATCTCTACAAAAACTCAAAGTGTACACTTTTGGGGGGGCTTATGAACTCAGCAACTAAGACCCTATGCCTTCCGAAGCCGTACCCCTAAACCCTAAACCCTAAACCCTAAA